TCCGTTCGTTGTCCGTTACGTTCGGTACGTACGTTACGTACGTTACGTTTAACGTTACGTTAACTAACGTTAAGTTAAGTAATAGTCGTTACGTTAGTAACGTAACTAACGTAAGTTAGTTTAAGTTAGTTTAAGTTTAGTTTAACGTTTTAAACGTTAAAGTAGGTTACGTTAGTTACGTTAGTTAGTTACGTAACGTTACGTTAGTATTCGTTCTTTACTTTACTTACGTTACGTTAAGGTTAAACGTTACGTTTTAACGTTTTTAACGTAACGAACCAACGACAACAAACAAACAAACACAACAACAACGAACGAAGAACCGTAACGTTAGTACAGTAGAACGAAGGAGGAACGAACGAGAGTAGTAGTAAGTAGTACGTAGTACGTCGTACGTAACCGTAAGTAGGTAAGGAAAGGAAGGAGTAGTGGTCGGTCGTGTACTACTACTACGTACGTAGTAGGTACGAAGTACGTAGTAGTAGTACGTCGTTCGTTGTTAGTAGTAGTAGAGGAGGGAGGGAGAGAGGGGGGGGGGGTTTGAATTCCCTCTCCGGTTGAGGAATAAAGTTTAGCCCCATGTTTACAAGGAGCTGTTGGCAGACCCCGCGGGCGAAGTCATGAAGGAGACATCACGTCACTTTTTTAAAATCTATTTTTATTGAACAATAAATGAATATAACAAAATAAAAGCCTTGCTTGTTTATGAGGGTTTCTTCTCTTTTAACAGATCGCCGCACACGAGTGTAGGAAGTTTCTAACCTTCATGTGAGTAATAACAACATTTATGACATGATTCTGACCTATTTACACTTCCTGTTTGAGAGATGTCGCACTTAACGCTCTACATGTCTCAGTTTGAGAGAATTCCACCAAACTAAACTGTATATTTTACCTGATCAGACAGAGAGAGCATAACGATCTTACATTTCACATTTTATTTTCTTCTGGGCTTATTCTCTTAGTTCAAATGTCGTCAACACGTATGATACCCTTCCAAAAGCTGCTCATTCATCTGATATGAAGCAGAGTACATGACAGATAGAGGGCACTTGTTCTTACAGATGCTATATTGCAATGACCTCATCAGTGTGTGTCACCCAGTTGATGAAAAGTGAATGGAGGGCAGCTGCAGACAGAATCTCAGTGTGAGGGGTGGGCACTGCAGCGAGGGATGAACAATGATGTTACTATTGGGTACGGTGATGGAGTGTTTTTTTCGTAACAGGTTTGAATAGAGTTTAGTCTAAGCATTAGGAAAATACTTGACATAATGACACCCCCTGCACCAGTTTCAGGGTGATGTGCATTACCGCGTTACAGTACGTTCTCAATGCACTACTGTGGAGATGAGATGTGTTCCTAGACTTCACTTAAATATCTTTTTTATTTTAGGATAATAATATAGAGTTTCCAGTGCCGTTATCCTCATCAAATATTAACAGTATTACTATGCTGTTCATGCAGAGGTGAAAGAAGTACTGAGATCTGTAACTAAATGTAGAAATACAAAATTGTGAAAATACTCTGTTACATGTAAAAGTCCTGCATTCAAATATAACCAAAGAACCAAAAGTCAAAGTACTCATAATGCGTAATCGCTCTTTTCAGAGTTGTATCTATTAAATTAGCGATAGCTGACAAACTGAATCTTAAAAGTAACTTAAACTGTCTGTAGTACAGTCAAAATACTGGCTTCTAAATAAAGTGAAGTAAAAGTATAAATCAGCATACATTTAAACTACTCAGGTAAAGTACACCTGCAAATTGTACTTGCAGGTGCAGTACAGTACTGTATTACTTACCACCACTGTATTCATGAAGTTAATAAGCAGCAGACTGTTTATATAGTGAAAGTGTACTTCTTTACTCAAAGACAATCAAATTCATCACTTATGGCTCCAAAATGGTGGAATGAGCTCCCCATTGAAATCAGGACAGCTGATAGCTTGCACATCTTCCGGCGCAGACTGAAAACTCATCTCTTTCGACTCCACTTCGAGCGATAGAATTATTAACAAAGCACTTATATACTAACAAAGGACTGGCTTATCTAAAGCCAGTTGAGTAGCACTTGAAATGTTTTAGCTCTATGAAACCTGATGTACTTATATGATTCTGTTTTCTTCAAGTTAGTATCTTGTTGTTCGAACGCACTTATTGTAAGTGGCTTTGGATAAAAGCGTCAGCTAAATGTAATGTAATGTAATGAACTAGAAACTATTATTTTTCCTTGGCAAAAGGGGGATTCCACCCCTTGAACTGACTGATACAAAATGTTTTTTGCAAATTTGCTGAAATATTAACTTAAAGATGTCGAAGAATTTTTACTTCTAACCAAAAAACCTGAATCCAAACTTTTTCTTGTAAATCTTCACCTCTAACTAAACGCCTGTTTGGTCTGTTTTAAAGAAAACAATCAAACCCTTAGATAACTATCAGTGTTTTCTTTTGACTTCACCGAGCAGTGATGTCACGGTGTGCGTAAGTACATCGTGACATCACTGCAGCAAGGCCAGAAGCTGAACCCGATGTCGGCGTTCGTTTCCACAAAGATGAACCTATGACTTTCTTTAATGTCAGAATGAATGAATCTACAAAAGAGAAAGGCTCTCTGCCGAGGCTGTTCCCGTGAGTGAACGCTAATGCGTGTATCTACCTCATTAACCAGATCCCCTTGCCAATGCTACAGTCTTTTACAAAGTTTCATTAAAATCAGGCCACTGGTTTTTCGGTATTCCTGCTGACAAACAGACAAACAAACCAACAAACCGAACCAAAAACATAACCTCCTTGGTGGAGGTAAATATTGACAAAAACAAGTCTCAACAAGTACCGCTTTTAGACATTTCTGGTACTACATTCCAGTAGAACTGTTGAACTTTAACGTAAAAAACACTTTATAAATAAAACGTGATTCATGCCACAGCTTATTTACTTATGTATCTGTTTACATACATATTTACTGTGGAAGGCTAGATGCTCACTTGTATCAAGACAGTTTTTTGAATCGTAGACGTAATGAAACTAAACAACCTTTTCGCTATATGCTTTAATAACCTTTATAATGATGTGTGATTACACAGTTCGTTAATACGTTTGAGTTTAATCGTGATCCCAGGCTTACATTCGGTCTGGCCAGCTTGCTTTCAGCAGGCTCATATCACAGCGCTCTCTTGCTAGCGCCATGTGTTTTTTCAGCCCTTGAGCAAATAAAATGCTGCATGCTTCGCTGTCAACAGATCCTACAAACACTAATGTGTGGATGGACGCACAAACACACATTGGTGCACACAAGCGGCATGCACTCAGGAATCTTGATATTCCGATGTGCAAATACATTGGTATACCATGTTGAGGATTTACACTTTTGTACTATTACAGGACAAAGTGACACACACTTCCCCGAGCAGCTTATCACACACAAATCATGGCATAATGCGTCCATGCCGACACACTACAGCTTTAAGAGCAGCCCTTTACCGTTTATTGACAGTAACTTAAGAATTGTACTGGAATTCTGACACCTCCTAATTTTAAACCTTCTGACTCCAGG